TCGCTGGATTCAAAGTCCAAAGTGCTAACCGCTACACCATAGAACCGATGTTAACCTTTCTTCATTAACTGCCTTTGATTAGTTATTCTATTTCAAAAATAAATTTTTACCTTATTAATATTTCCTTGTACGCGAGCAGTTGTCCAATATTTATTTAAAACCATAGTTAAAAGTTGTTCATTTTCTTTATGTTTCGTCAAAACAATTCGTAATAAATCAACCTGAATAATAACATAAAATAAAATATTTAGGAGATAAATATTTTTTAACTAACTAATTGTTCATATTTATAATCAAGTTCTTTGCCATGATTGCCAATAAAAAGGCAACATTCAATTGCTGAATAGTTTGATTCACCATTTTCATTACCTAATGTGTCAATTAAAGCCTAATAAAAATAATTAACAGTATAAAATAAAGCAAGAAATAAATTCTAACTTTAATAAATGATGGTTTGATAGTGACTTGTTCATTCGATAAATTTTTCAAACAAAAATTCAATTGACGCCAAACACGATGAACTAGTTCAATGGAATCCAACCCTGATCTAAACATTTCCATAAAAATTTTTTTATTGTAATCTAATCAAATATAAATATAATATGCTATGTTGTTTTTGATTAACTTCAAAATACAAGTAACTCAATATTCCCTAAATTTCAGAAGAGCAAAGTGATAGATAGGAGCCTATATAAAAGTCAGTGTATTAAACAAACTGAGGTGTTGCCAATTCAAAATTTGAAACAGAAATATTTGTATCGAATAGTATACTTAATACTTAAAACTAATTTTCATCAAATTTCGGTTCTTACGCCCTGACAGTTGTCTTTTCGAATACTCTCACAAGCGTTGCCCTTGTAGTTGAAATTCGACTGAGATTAATTTTAAGTATTAAAGAAACGATTTGATTTCATATTTTTCTTTTATCGATTCTGAATATGATATTCATGACATGTGGAAAAATCTTTGAATACAAGACTTGTTATTTATTTCGCAACCATGTGAGGGATAAAATAAAAAAAATCGGATAAATATCAAGACTTGGTGTTTTCGCATATTGCAATTTTTATACGTTTCGCTAGAGTAATGCGACGAGCTCTATTCTGTCGTGACTTTACATGTTTGTCACTTGCATTAAAATAAGCTTTGAGATGTCAAAAACAGAAATTTACTTTTTATTCTCGAGAAATCACCTTTTTTCAAATAGAATAACTTCAACATTTTATTTTGTTGAGATATATTTTCCTTTGAACTTCTTTTATATCACATCGATTACATAAGCATTTGAGGTTTATGGAAAAAAAAACTTAAATATGTTCTTTAGTTACTTAATCAGGTCTATACACATTAAAAACTTTTCTTTGTTTTTTTGTGCATTAACATGCAATACTATCAGACGATTGTGCTACTTAACCCACACAAAATAATAACTCTGCCGTGTGTTTTTTTCTATTTTCATTCTAATCATCTACAAAAGCTCCTTATATATATATATGTTAGTTGAAAAATATCCATAGACGGCGGAACATTGTGATTGTAGGGTACTATCAGCAATCATGGAAATGCTTCAAAATCGTTTCTAGAGTACCGTTGAGCTAAAACTGAGGTTATCCATTGAAAGGACTCCTATGTAAGCCTTTATCTATCACATAGGATATACTCATGCTTATCCAGATCTTGTGGTTTCGTTGCCTATGAACATATCATATTGTTTTTGTTTGTTTTTTAGATGTCATCATATAAAAATCTCGAAAAACAACTTCGATCTCATAGTATTCATGCAACAATAGCACGTGATTTAGAACGTATGAAAAGATTACAAAGACAAGAAATGAAACAAGCAAAAGATTTTCGTGATCTTGAACGTCGACGAAATTTCAATGCAAAATGGAATCAACGTGCTGATCATAAAATTTTAGGTCAAATTTCAACAAATAATAATCATGATCCTCCATCAATGACTCTTGAAGAATTTATGCAACGTGAAAGAATAAAACAAGATAAAATAATGAATTCAAAAAGATTGGCTAATGAAAGAATTCGTATTAAATAAATGGATTATTTAAATAAAATTTTTACTTTTTTCGATTAATAACAAGACCTGATAACCAATCAAATATCATTTGTTTTGATTCTATATTCCAATATTGTTCAGTTAAATCTAATCGCTTATCAATTGATAATTGTCGATCGGTTAATTGGGTGTAAAGAGCTAAGAAACAAAAAAAAATCGATTATCATATTTTCGAAATTGAAGTAACTCAAAAGAACATTACTTTCAGCTAATTTCATTGTTCGTTTTTTTGTTTTTTTTTTTGAATAAAAACAAATAACTATCTACAAATATAACAACAGATTTACAGACAACATATAAAAGATTATAAATAAATAAATATCTATAATATCACAAAACAATACTTAAAATATGGACTTAGTTCATTTAATGAGATGATCAATTTCATAGTTGAGTATTTAAATATTAAATCTAAATAAAAATTGCATAGAATAAAAAAAAGAAGTCATCGATATATTTATCTAGAATGATTTGCTTTTCTAGGCTTTCATTTTTGTAACATCAAAATTTTACTGGATTTTTTTTCAACAAAAACCTGTAGGCCCCCTCAGATTACGTGAAAAATTAACTTTCAAATTTACGTAAATTGACGTTTTAGAAGAAACATACATTTTGATTAATCATTGTCATCTTTGACATCTAATCTTTGTCTTAATTCTCGAATTTGTTGATTTTTTTGTTCAATAATTCTTTTCATATTAATATATGTATTTGTTTGATTAAATTTTTTTTCTAATTCATTTTCAGCTAATGATAATGAATGTTGAATATCTTTTAAACGTTTTTCATTTGTTTCTAATTGATGAGTAAATGATACTTCTTTATTATTATATAAACGTGTATTTTCTTCTAATTTTTGATTTAAAATATCATCATCATTTTCATAGTTTAATAAACGTTTTTTTAATTGTTCATTTAATTGTTGTAATTTTTGAATTTCAGTTTTTAAAAGTATTGTAGATTTTGTATCATTTATTGGATCCATCATAGCATCTATTAGAATTTCGAAAAGAAAGAAAAAACAACTTTTTTGTTATTGAATGTATACATATATTAGTATATAGCGAACAAATCATAAGGTTTGACAAGAGTCAACTCAATTTTCACAGAGGAGCAGTGATACTCTTTATACTGAATACAACATTGTATTTTTCTTACTCATATCTTTATTTCCTTTAGATTTTTTTGAAATTAATTGTTGTTGTTCATAATCTCGTATAAGTTCAATTAAACAACGATTTTCTAATTGATCAAAATTAGGATTTAATTTTAAAAACCATTGTTCAGCTTGTTGAAATAATTGTTTAAGTAAAAGAGCATTAACACGATATTGATGTGTTAATTCTTGTTCAAATTCTTTTTCTAATATATCAAGAAATTCATCAAGAAATTCATTGACTTCATTAACTGTCATCATAGCTTCATCAGATAAACGTTGATTTTTAAAATCATCAGCTGCAGAACGAAATGATCGTAGACCTATTGCTTTTTGTTCACGAGAAAAATGAACATAATGACGAATTATTTCTTCATGATGTTCATTAACACCTAGATCATTTATTGATGAAGCCATTAATCTAAAAACAAAAAATTGTTTTTTTAAATTAACGCATACTGTAATAGAGAAAATATTTCCTGATGAAAAATAATTAGTTCTTTACTTAAAACCAAGGGAATTTTAATTTCTTCTTCTTTTTTTTTTTGAAAATTCTTGTATCAAAGAAAGATTGGACAGAGAAAAGAGTCAAATGAGAAATATCAGTCATTTATGAGTTCAGCAAAGAGGGCGCCTATATACTGTCATTAGATACTGTGACGAAAACTATATTTATCATATAAAGTTGTACACATTAAATATGACGAACATGAAACATTGTACCTAATTATGTAGTGATACGTTTACATTTTTTAGCAAAAATGTAGATCGAAAACAAACTTAAATTTCGATATCTAGCATTCTATCTATACATATTCTTACTTAAATTATGGTTACTACTCAACTATCAATCTTTCTTTATACATTTGTTTAAGACATATATTAGCTCTAGCAGTCTGTGATATTATTACAATTGTAAACAATGCCTCAATCAGCATTTTTCTTTTCTTTTTCTTCATAATTTAATGACTAGTCGTGATCGCATAACTGAAATGTTTAGATTTCATAGAAGACCATCATTTTGTATGAAACACATTCGTTATCCGTGCAGATTTGAATATATACATATGAAGTCACACTTTATATACAACTTTGCTTTGTTGTCATTTGTAATATGATTCTTATTCAATATTTATTGCAAAACATCCCATTATCTGCACACACTGATAAAGTTTTACTTATATAAAGAATAAGTAAATTATTTAAATTTATTTGTTTTCTCCAGTGAAAACGTTTTTTTTTTGTTTTGAGTGCATTTCATAATACATAGTTGAAAATCAATGGATACAAACGATACTGGTTGTTCAACATCCTATCAAAAAAAACAAATTTAAATTAAAACTTCATTTTATATCGGCTGTACTTATTCCATTATTATTTGCTGTATTTACTGTTGTTCTCGCTCTTCAACAAGAATCTATTGCTAAAACTAATCGTGATGTTGACTTAAAAATTGTAGCCGAACAGCATGAACAAAATCTTCATTTAGTTGTCGATGAATAACGTAATGCTCAACTTGTAGCTTATATTCGTGAAGTATCTGATTTATTACTATATAGCTAATAATTTTTCATTGAATAAACAAATTTTAACATCTATTATTCGTCCAAAAACATTGGCTACTTTACGACGACTTGATACAACACGAAAAAGTTATCTTTTTCGATTTCTTCATGAATCTCGATTAATTTTCATGTTGAATCCACCATTTATTAATTTAGATGGTGCCAATCTCAGTTCAATTATTATAGGTTCACTTGAAGAAGGTATTGATATGCGTAGGGTCTTTTTATCTAATGTGAATCCTGACAATGCTTCATTTACTTCTGTATCATTCGGTAATAGTGTTTTTAAATATACTCGTTTGCGTGGGCCTGCATTTCACAGTGTATCATTCGAATATGTAAATTTTGTTGGTGCACAATTGCAAGAAGCTAATTTAATTGTAACAAATGTGTACAAAGCTGATTTTACTAGTGTTAATATGATGGGTGCTAAAATAAGTCAAAAACAAGTCATATTTATTTAAACATATTTGATTCTATAATAATTTTTTTTCCTTGATCATAGATCAATAGTATTGGATCTATTTCTTTAGTGATTTTTCCCGATGATAGTCAAGGTCGAAATCCAAATTTGTTTACTGATTCTAACTGTGAAAAGTTTATTAATGAAACTAATAGTCAACAAAATATTAGTATAAATCGATATCGTGAATGGTTGATACAAATAGGATGGCAACATGATGGGTTCATATACTATTGTACTGGTTGGTTTGATAAAGCAAATGATTTGTAAATTATACTGAATTTATCAAAATGGGGTTTTATTAGAAAAGTATTGCTTTGGTAATGAAGATTTGATCACGTATTTGAACGGAAGTCAACTTTGTTATGCCTATAAATGTACACTTTTTTCAGTCTCGCATTCAAATGATACAAATCAATATTACATATATAGATGAAAAGATCAATAATCACCCTGAAACATATATGATTAACGTTGCTATCATTCTTGGACAACATGAAACTTGTCGAGATGTGTACTTTTCAAGTGAGACATCACAGTAAACATGAAGAATTACAAATAAACTGTAGTTACTAATGTCGTCCGTTTCTTCTTAGAGTATTTAGTCCAGCCTATAAAATCCATCGAAACAACAACAATTACAGTATTAGATCGTTTCGTCAATATTATTCTAACAGTGAATCAATTGAATGAAGCAACTGATGTTTTAACACTTGAAAACTCGATTTCTTTCAATAAATTTTTCAGAAATAGTAATAAGAAGATTGTTGATTACTAATGTTGGTTTTGTTGAGATTGTTAAAGAAGGTTTAAAAGAATATTGCCTTTGTTGGTAAATTTTTCTCAGAAAACATTGGCATTAGATTAACGAGGCTTTCACTCTTCGCTAGTGACGAAAGTTCTAATAGCGAATCTCGGATAATCCAAATTAATTCTTGTTCATCTTCATGTTGTTAAATAGAACTATTGTTTAACCATTCGAATGTTTTTCAGTTCGAAAGATGAGTGAAGTAAGAAGATATATTGGGCAGGTATATGGGAGTGTTTGAAGAAAATATAAGAAGAAATCAAGCTATCATGCGATGTATTTTGAATGGATCTTAAATCCATTCATCATTAGGAATGATCGATTCTATCACTACATCTCAATCAAATAATTTTACTTATTAATATCTGCAAAAGTCTTAATCAAAAGACTTCCAACAAATAGCCATCAGCCCAATAACTTGATCACTACATAGTTTAATCTAAAATCACACAAATCCGAAAATTTAAGAGAAGAAAAACTAAACTAAGAGAAACAATTGCAGTGTTTCTTATATAAGGTGTGTTTATGGGATCCATAAGCAGTAGTCGAGCAGCCATACGATACATTTCGATCAGTTTTTCACGTGCTTGTTCTTTTCATTGATTTTTGGGTGTGAGTGTGTTTACAGAAGTGAAAAGAATCATTCATGGAAATTATACGACATATTTCGATCGTTCCAGGGTCTTCATCGGGTATGTTTAGAGTCTTTATATCTATATTCGATTAATCATGAAAAATAGGGAAAAATCTAGCGGAAAGATTCATCCTACATAAACATAGAATACTAATCAAATACAATAAACTAATATACGAAAGATAAAAATTATCGAATATAGTTCATGTACCGTAGTTCAGCTTCCATGTAAAGGGTGTGTTGGGTGTGGGTGCGGGTACGTCTAGCAACTATTATCCAGATTTCATCTCGGCTAAGAGACTCATTAGATGATTTTGACTCTGTTTCTGTTCAAGAATGATTCAAAGATTACAAACAAGATGGCTGATCTGTCCTGGGTGTGCATAAATCCATTGGAAGCTGATTGATCTATGTCTTAAAGAAAAGACCAGCTCAATCTGCTGTTATCAACTTTTGCTTTTTAGCAATCGCTCAAGTCAAACAATAAAATAATACAAGTAAATGTGCGAATGTGGGTGTAGGGTGTGGCTGTGGATAATGTTTTCTTTTTATTCACACCTACATCCACACCACACCCATCCACGCCTACCCTCACACATACTCACATAGCTTTGTTAGAACAGTTTCCTGCGCGCATCGAACCTAAAAATACTCGAATTTGGACCTAACATATCCTCCATAAAGGATATAAGCTCTATCAAATGTTAGATGAAGCGAGTGATTTTCATCTAAATATAAAATGGGTTCGCCAACTTAGGACAAGTGGATCATTTCTTGATGTAATTGTTGAAAATAAAAATGGAATATTAACAACTTCAGCGTATCATAAAGCAGCAGCTGAATTATACATAGTACCATTTAAATCTGATCGTTCTCTACATATTTTTACAAATATTATTGATGAAACTCTTCTACACACAGTACATTATTCATTCACCCTTTCAGTCTCTAAAGAAGAATGTAAAATAAAACTAATGTTGTTTTATAATGGGATTAGTTTTTTTCTCTCATGGATAACTTTATCATCTTATTTTTTCCCAACATAATTATCCATCAAGATGTATCTATCGTTGATTCAACTTATTTTTTTACAAACTATCTATCAAGATGAGTGTTATAGTCTTCATAACAAACAATCGAAACGACATTGCTGATTCGCGTTGTAATCTATTAAACAAACCAACGATTGACGAATATCAAATAGCTTCACATGCAGCAAAACTAAATTATTTCCGGTATACAGACAGTGATCGTAATTGATTCATACAAAAATCACTCGCTCAAGAATTCAAATACATAGGTAGTCTGATAATTCATTATATACACAAGTGTGCATTCATACATTTAATAAAGCAGATGCCACCAACACAAGGCTCATCGTATGCACTCGAAACATGAGCAACCTTATACAAAAACTAATACGCAAAAGTACTCATTCAACGCTCGCATATGCAAACAACGCCATCGAATTAACTGATAAATACGAATAAACCGTAATAATTCAGATACATTTATACTGACAAATACTACCATACCAGTTGAATAGTTAAATGTACAGTGCACAATCTACTTTTTTTTGCTTAATCAACGAAAACCAGAAAACATAATATATGAGATTGAAAGACAGCCCGTCTAGAGCTTCTACAATGTCCTAACAACTCCGAACATACACATGATCATAAATTCTTTCCACAACCATGAACATGCCATTGAGATACAGAGTCAAAGCCGTTTAATGAGTCCTCTATCAGAGACGGAAGTTATTAAAACGAATTACATGTGAATATAATATAATTCTCTTCGTCTTAGTAGTTATGCTTCAGCTCTGGTCAATAATATCATGTCAAACCTTGTGCTATAAATTTTTTCTAAGCAATATGGTAGTTGAATCGACGAAACGAAGAGTAAAATCATATTTACTGTTTTCTGTAGCATAAATCGTATGTATATTTTATCATTAGAAAAGTAGAAGTTATGTATTGAAGATGTATCTGACAGTACAAATAAGCTTTCATCCTTAAATGATGCAAAATGAATCGAATGATTTGGTAGAAAAATAATTATACATATGAACATTTTCGAGATGATAAAATTTCAGAGCGCACATCTCATATGTAGAAACTTTTATAACGTAGATTTGTTGATTTATTTAGTATTTTACAAATAAATTATTTTAAGAGCTCTGATAACAAACCATAAATTTATTACAGTCAAAGTTTGTGAGTGTCACGGTTTAGCACCAGAAGGGACTATATTGATAAGTTTTTTTTGTGTAATGTTAAGTTCTTCCAGGATAAAGATGGTCAGAGTTTGAAAAATCAAAAAAAAACAGAATCTCATCTAATCGAGCTGAAATTTTCACCAGTGGCTGCTTTGTCTAATAGAACATTGTTTGAGCAATTTCAAGATTATTGACAAACTACAATTTCATAGCTACAATGTGAAAGGAGATATCACGATGGGCTTCTGTCTATCGAGTCAAATGTCTTTTCAGGACTGAGGCTTGCAGAATAAGTTGCGCAATGGACCATGTATCTATGATGTAAGTATGCATAGTGTTCAGCAAATGACCATCACATATATTTCAAAAAAACGTTCAGCAACAATCAAAATATTTCAATAGAATAGCGATTTTGTTGACAAAAGTTCAAAACTTGAATCCTCCAGCAAGGTACATGACCTTCTCAGGGTCCCATGTAGTACGAATACGTTGAAGTTTAGATACATTATCGCCGTACATCTGTGAAAGAGCTGTGTTCTCTAGAGCATAGTTTGGATAGCGAATTTGTTTTCTGCCACCCACATCTTGACCATCGTCAAGTGCTGTCTGTAGAATAGTCTCGGCTGATGTTTGAATGGCATGGATGAAAATCTTGTCGTCAAATGGTGACTCCCAGGCAAATTGGATACAAATAGGTAGAAGAGGAGTGGACGAAGGAATGTGTGGATAAGCGCCACCTTGTGACTTATTGAAATACGCTGGCAAAAATGGCATAGTATCGTATGAGAGAATCGCGCCGCGCTTTCGTCCCAGTGTTGAACTGTAATATAATGTCTGGTTTTTGATTTGTTCGAGAACACGTTTGCTCAGGTTGATAACTGAGACTGTATGAAAACGTCCACTATAATAATAAAATTTATTATGAGGAACAAAGTGAGAGTTTAGTGCAGAAATCTTAAATCATTGAAAATATCAAATGGAATAACAAAATGAAAGATTTTAGCATAGTTTATGCTTCCGAAAAAACGCCTTTAAATGTTAAGTTTGGTTCGATTTTTCTCTTGCGAATTCTCTGTGTAAATAAGCTATCTCATAAGAGAATCTGTTTCAGTATCAAATCCTATAGACGGCGTCTTTCTGGTCCAACTATGATCAACACATAGGTCTCTAAAATGGTAAGATCGTTTTAGCCAAGGGAAAGTCTTTCTTCTCGACTTCTACCTTGAGAAGAAAAAGTCATATTATAGAGTAAAAATCCAATATCGATGTCATAAGTCGACGAATTTCAAACTATAATCACGTCCAACAGCAAAAAGATCTACTGAGAGAAATACTTGA